CTTGGTCCCCTTGGACCAGTCAGTGATTGAAATCTGAGTATAAATAATAGGACTGGGCCAGGCATGGTGGGTCACGCCTATAATCCCGACACTTTGGGAGGCCAAGGCAGGAGGATTGCTTGAGGCCAGGAATTCAAGACCAGCCTGGGCAGCATTACGAGATCCTGTCTTTGTTAATAATAGAGCTCTGTGTAATGACAGGTGACTATTGTCATAGCTACTTGTGAGGTCAAGGAAGGAGAATCACTTGAGCCCAGGATTTTGAGGCTGTAGTGAGGTATGATCACATCACTACACTCCAATCTGGGTGACAGAGCAAGACCCTCTACTTTAAAAATAAATAAATAAGTAAATAAATAAATAAACAGGACTAAAGACCTGTAGAACTATGATAAAAGGTTTGTCCCAGGAAAGAGCCATCTGATATTTTGTTTTAACAGTGGAAATAGCTATGCTGAATCCTAAATCCCAGAAATTGAGATGTGAATTCCCAGTGGAGAGTTAGGTTCTTTGGACAGGGGAGCTGAGGCCAAGGCTTGTGAGGCAGCTCTGCTGCCATCAAGTGGTGAGGAGCTTGGGAAAATCTCTTAGTCCTTCTGGGCCTCAGTTTCCTCATCAGAATGTGAAGGTTCTATTGTACCTCTCTGAGGGACTTTCCTGCTGAGTTTGCTCTGAGTCTCTGAGGGGGAGGTGTATAGTAAAGGTGCCCTGGGATCTGCACCTGAGACCTGACCTTGGTCCCTATTTTGATTGTCTCCTGCAGGAACCCCAGCCAAGTCCACACCCTGAGAACTCAGAAGTGAGGGAGCAGATAGAAGAAAGAAGATTCAGCAGGTTTGGGGGATGAGAATAAGCAACACCACCACAGTATTGGTGGAGCAGGTGGAAAACAAAGGGGGTGAGCATAAAGACAAATTGGATTCAGAAGGCACTGAGAAATGCCTGTCATCACCCAGACCCTCAAGGAGCAACCTAGGCTGAGCAGTGAGGATGGGAGAGGAGCTTACTGCACAGTGCACCTGTGCACCTGACCAAAGAGACCCACAAGGTGGCTCAGAGCCGGTTTCTGCTGAGGGAAGCAGCAACTCCAAGAGAGGGGGATGTAACCATAAGGCCCTGCCTGGCTCCAGGAGCTTCGACCTCAGGGAAGCCCTGGCAGTGGACACCCTCCAAGTAAGGGCAGGCTTAGCAGGAGAAGGGGTGGAGATGTCCACTTGCACCTTAAACACTTTTGCTTTAGGTCAGTGAACCAGGGAAAAGGGACTCTTGTATAGGAAGTAGTGATACTTGGTCACTCTTTGGCCCTTTCAGTTGAGAAGGGTCTTGTGGCAACCCAGGGAATGGGTGGAGAAGTCACAAACACGTATTTCTCATGACAGGGTGAACCAGGAAGGGAATTCCTGAGAGCAGTCCCATTTCCATCAGAGCTTCCAGGGGAGTGTCCCAGGGCATGGATACTCTAGGGCAGGGGCCTCTCCATAGAAGGAGACATGCAGCATCCTGGCAGGAAGCAGAGCTTCCCTCACAGGATGTTTGGGAAAAGAATGTAGATGGAACGATTGGAGATCGAAACCACTTTCGTTCAATCATCAATGACCACTTCTGAGAGGCCTTTCAGTGCTGGGCCCTGAGCTGGGAACCATGAACACAGAGAAGAACAAAGTCTTACCCTGGCATTCACAGAGCTCTCAGTCTAATAAGCAGTGAGTCATGAGAAGTGCGGCAACAGCGGGCTCACTGGAGGGAGTGTCCCCTGCAGTATGGGAATGACCTCAGTGGTTGTCCTGGTCCCCCTTCTGTTTCCTACAGCTGGATGACACAACATTCCTGACCTCCCAGGATACAACTGACATCTGTCCTCCAGGTCATCTCAAAGTCAACACTGCCAAGAACTCCAGAGAAAACTGCCAATGTCAGTAGCTACTGACTATGTCACGGCCACCTGGAGACATCACGAAACAAGTTCAGTAGAACTAATTAGTCCATGTCTGCCAAAAAAATTATGCTATTCTCTGTTCTTTCTGATAAGTTAAATGCTTTCCAGACTTTACTAATCTCTCATCACATGAAAATAAATAATGACTATATTTTTAGAATTTCAGTACCTCATATTTTATTCTCAGATTTTACATCAAAAAATGAATGTAGAAAGGAATAAAGCAATTTCCATGTTTTCACTGAACATGTAGGGAAAACCCAGGCTTTCTGATATTCAAGTGGTTGATGAACACAGTGATTTTTGTACTCATAGAGACAGAAAAATCTCACAACTCTTGTTTCAATCTTCTGTTCATCCTATCCAATTCTATAAAATATAACATCTGCGCTTATCTAGGGATGTTAGATTCTAAGTTAGTTGAGCTCAGTGAATGCAGTCACTGATCCCTGTGGGTAAAGCCTTGTGCTAGTTACACCGGGGATCAGAGGAAGGGTGTACCGATTCTTACTGCAGAGAGGTGGAAGTTGTCTGCTCCAAATTCGGCCAGGCATTTCTGTAGGTGAGGAATCAGTAGCTCACACCAAAGCTCCCTCTGCTAATGAGGAATAAAATGACGAGGAGCAGTGACAGCCCTGGGCTTTCCATCCCCCACACATTCAGGCCGAAACGATCTGGAGAATCTCCAGCAGAGAGTGTCCTGGCTGCCAGTGTCATAGTTGAGTGTCACCCATTCTTAGCATGGGTCCCATCGTGTGTTTTATTTCACAACCATATTTAGATTGGAGCAAAAAGAAGAGGAGCAAAGCAGTGATGGACTAGAAAACCTCGAGTCACATCTGGTTGGGCAACAGATCTCTGAAAAGATCAAGATCCTGCTCAGAAAGTGAAGCTTTGGGGAATAAACGGATGAGTTTGGTTAAGTGTCATGTAGTGAGAAATAATTTACTGCATTTCATAGAACCTGATGACTTCTGGAGACACAACTTTCTCCAAGTGACCCAAATCATGGCCCTATACACCAAGTAATAAAGAGAAGCACCACTTCCATTGATCTCACCAAATCAGGAGGTCTTTAATGCAGTAAATAAGCTGGGAAAATGGCTTTGCCTCTAGGGCCAAGGAATAGCACAGATCCCAGGGAGGTGACACAGGAGGAAGCAGGATGGAACGTAATACAGTGACCAAAATATAGCATGTAAGTTGGCTGCAGACTTTGGAGCTGTAAATGAGCTTCTCAGAGCAATAGAAACATTACCTCTTCAAAAAATGTGTTTGGTGAAAATGTGGACACAATGAACACTAAAGCTTAACATAGATCTCAAAACCAATATCGTTCCACGGTGTAGGATGAGGATGGTTTAGGGTGTAAGAGTTACATCCCCCTCTCTTGGAGTTGCTGCTTCCCTCAGCAGAAACCAGCTCTGAGCCACCTTGTGGGTCTCCTTGGTCAGGTGCACAGGTGCACTGTGCAGTAGATAGAACTACTTTCAAAAGTGGTTGAGCAGTCCTCCTTCCTTCACTTTGACATGAACACTCAGGAGCCCATGACAGCATGTTACACCCTCAACTCAGGCAAGCCCACCAGCTGAACTGCAGAGACCTGGGCTACAGGGGCATCTCCCAAGTCTCAGGCTCACGAGACCTAGGGTGGTGGGGTGGAAGCCAACAACGTGAGGAGGTGGATCAGGAAATTCCTTTCCCCTGCCTGCCTGCCCCTCTCATGTCAACCTCACTGCTATGTCTCTGAACCCCCAGCACACCTACACTGTGAAGCCTCATCACCCCAGACTTGGGACCTTGACCTTTCCATGTTCTGTTAGAGGAACGCAACCACAGGTCAACAGTGTTAGGTCAACTCACACAGATCTATGGAGCAACGCTCCAAAATCTGCTCTTGATCCCTGTTCTGTGCAGTATGTGGGTGGACAGAATGAAAACGTAAAACCTATCATCAGGTTTACAAGTCTTCCCAATATAGACAGTCACTTCGTGTATTCAAGGATATGTACATAAACTATTTTAATCACTTTGACAACTGGTAAAGAGAACATGAAGATCTACAATGAAATCCATTAGTAGCAAGTATGAAATATAATGTTTAGTGACGTTAAATAAAAATCCAAAGCAGCCCACATATAGGGGAGGAACTTAGGGGGTAGGGAAGTCAAACTTGATGTAGGCATAATGAAAGACACACAGCTGCCACAGCGACAGAATAGAAGCCAACAAAAAAACTGGAATGCAGCAAGAGTATTGAGACAAGACAGAAACCATATTGAAAAATTATTTTTCACTTAGTATTATAAACTGCATTTTGTTCTATACTTTTTAATGGATTTGGAGGCATAGAAGAAGATACAGAGAAGAATGTCATGAGAGATTTATATTTTTACATTGCAAAAGTTCTACATTATTTAATTCAGGAAAAGCCCTACAATCTGTTTTAATGGTAAAGAAATGGTGAGATGACTACTTAACAACCCCGAAGAAAATAAAATTTGTGGGGAAACTTTATGCCTAGATATTTTCATACATACACAAGAATGAACAATCGGAAACATGCTTAGATTTACTGGGAAAGTGATGGATCTGTGGCATGGGCACAAGGCTACACTGCTCTTGAGCATGGCTGCTCAAGGGGTGTCCCCATCAGTGGTGACCTTCAGACTAGACCACGTGGCTTATGTAGCAGCACGGCCCAGGCAACTGGAAGGCAGCAGCTCCTAAGATTCCATGGCACCTCCACCTTATAATTCTGTTATTGTAACCCCAGGCCATTACCTGGTACACTGGGCTCTACCTTACCCACTTCAGTTGGAGTTTGAACTATAGGCAGTGCCTTTGTCTCTGAGCTCGAACATCTTAAAAGTGGTTTTTACAGGGAAGGATTGTTAAGTGCTGGTGGTGTTGATCCAGTTTTTATCAACAGTAAGTTAAGAATTAAAGTGTTTGTCATCCCTCAGTCCTGATGAAACCTATTTCATTTTGTTTTTCCCCCATCATGTGTTTGGGTTTCTTCTCCCTAGTCCCTGGCTATAACTCTTCTGTCATACACATTAGCATGGTGGGATCTCTCAGCCCTTTTTCCAGTCAAAGGGCAGAGATGAACATCCTAGAAATCGATAAAGAATTGCACTCCCAGCTGGCAGAGAGTAACAGCAGTTATGAGACCTCAAGGAGAAATTGCTTACCTCCGAAGCTACCGCTTACTCCTTGGCCAACCAGCTGCAGAAATATAATAAGTTATGTAGGTTCACCATTCTCAAAGTGATGAACAATTATATGTCTTCTCTCTGAGAAAATAAATTATCTCTAGACTTGATTCTTCTCTTCTCTTTATCAAAATAAATTTCATCCTGACTATATTCCTAGAAAGAGAAAAGTGGGTATTTTAACCTCATTTTTCTGAGGATGGAAAAACTGAGGCACAGAGTTTAGTCCTGATTACAAGTGAGGAGCAGGATGGGACTTGGATTAAAATCTCAGTTATTTTTCCTGCAGCAGGCAAGGAAGTGCCTATGATTTTAAGGAACAAGCTGAACTTGTTTGTATTGGGTCCTCTCCGTACTGTATCAAATCCTGCAGTCAGATAACAACACAATTGTTCAAATTTCTGGGACTTCTGTTCATTTCAAACTTCTGTTGAGGCCCAATAGGTTCCACTGGGGAAGGTGGTGATGGGACACAGCCCCTGCTTTAAAGGAGCATCCAGAGGAATGTGCTCCTAACACAAGTTGTGGCATTCTTAAGTGACACCATCAAGAGGGCTGATCCTGATGGGAGGGAATTCCTGCTTCCTGGAACACTGGTTCTTCTTTGAGTGCACAAAAGTCATTTGACACCTAGCTGGAAGGTAGAGGGTGCTTCTGGAGATGACAGGGAATCTCTCACACCCCTGTACATCCCCTGACCTGGTGAACCTTCAGGCATGCAGAACAGCCAGCAGGTGCAGGTGGACCTTGCAGGTCTGAGCTATGAGACATGTGGCACAAGTGAGAGGAGGACGGGGAGGAGAGCAGCAGCCCCTGTGGCAAATAAACCAGCAAGTGGGGTGGGCCTCCCTCCACCCCCCAGTCAGCCCGGCCGCCGCCAGCCCTTGTCCTCCTTAGGAAGAGAAGCTTTAGTGACTGAAGGGATCCCGGGAACAGGGTCATATGCACAACAGCAGGATTAGAGCGAATCTTGCAACTCTGAGGCTGAATTTGCATCATTCTCCTAAATTATTTTTGAATAAATCAATGGGGGATTTTTTTTTAATCAAAAGGACTTAAAGAGAAAAGTAAAAATTGAAGCCTGTTAGCAGAGTGAAGAGGTGAGCTTTGGCAAAGGGCAAACTATGTTTAACACCTTTTCTTGTAATCATATTGTAAGCATATGAAAAAATTGTGCAGTGGAAGAAGAGGGAACAAGGCTGAAGACCTGGTCGAGGTAACAGTGCCGTGTGTAGAGCAAGGACCTTGGCAATGTCTCTGGGGCTCCAATGCAAGTTGTGTGTCTTCTCTGTGCCTCAGTTCCCTCCTCTGTTTATATGGTGCTATCATAGCACCGATTTCTTTGATTTGTACTGAATACATTAGTTAATTCTTGTAAAGCTTTTACAATGCTGCGTCACAAGAGTAAACTCTCTGAATTCATAGTTCTGTTACTTCTAATTTAAGTCAAGCTTCACTAGTGTTTGGGATTTTTTCTCTCAGATCCTTGTGGTCTAATGCTTTCTATTTCACACAATCATATCCAGATAAGATTTTTTATCTTTGAGACACTTGTGCATTCTTTACATTCCCAGCACAAGGGAGCCATCAGTCCTGTAGTCCTCCGGGCCTTCTCAGCTGCACAGGAATCACTGCTTCACGCTCCAGCGCAGTGTTTCACACAGGAGGCTGCACGGTTCGGTCAAGTGGCCCCTGATTCAGAGCCAGACCTTAGGGGATGTGAATTCTGACTCTACCAAATACCAATTCAATCACTTGTCAAGTTACCTTATGCGTCCTTAGGCTTCTCTTTCCTCATATTTAAATAGGGAATTATCAATGCCATGGAGTCGGGAGGTTGAGAAATACAGTTGTGGAAATCCTCGTATAGAGCCTGGCACTGGGGATACTTTTGTCCTTGGGATGGACCCTGCCTCCTCCCCTGTAGGCAGTGACCACAGCAGGCATGTCCAGCTTCCCACTGAGGCAGGCATGTCTGTCTTTCCTCAGAGTGTGGGGCATGCAGAGACATCATAGAGTCCATGCTGGGCGAGAAGCAAAATTTCAAGGAGAAGGAGCAGGCAGAGAAGCCAACTCTAGCTGAAAAGCTCAGGTCAGGGGTGCTGTGTGTGGGGCAGGCAGGTGGGAAGGTCTGTGAGTTTCTGAAGTCGGTCAGCTCAGCTGGGACAACTAAGAGCTCACCTGGTCAGGGGAAGGGCAGGAATTGACATGGCAGGCATGAGTCGCACACATATTTATAAAGAAAGTCAAGAACAAAAATAATGGTAAATTCTGGGCTACAATTGTTACTCAGAGCCATGTTTTTTCTTTTCAAACAAGTAACTATAAAGGTGAAGTTCACATAACACAAAATTAATCAAAGGAAAGTGAACAACTCAGTAGCATTTAGTACAGTCAAAATGTGCATTTAGGTGATGGAAACACTAAAAGCCCAGACTTTACCGCTACACAATATAGCCATGCAACAAAATTGCTCTTGTACCCCTTACATTTATACAATTAAAACTGAAAAATATTATGTAATCACCGTTCCATTTACTCTGAATCATAACCACCTCCTGACTGAATGTGGCTTCTGATTCTTTTATCCAAAGAATGTTGTCTTCTTGGCCTTGTCATCTTGTTTTCTTTCATCTTTTCAATTAGCCCCAGCTGGTCCTGGCCACATTTCTTCATGTGGCTGTGTGTCTGGTCTCCACACAATGTACTGGATGTATTTTCACATGGAAATGGACCTGGCCAAAGTGAGGTACCAAAGGGAAATCTTTATTAAGCCAATTCAGGAAGGTACCTGGCTCATTTTACAGAAGAAAAACATGAAGGGAATGTCAAGGAATCTTACAGGAGCACTTTCTGACACAGAAGAGGCTATTCTTGTGCATTCTTCTCTGTCTTTGCCACAAGCAGTTCACCAAATATGTGCCCAAATTGCACTTGGAAGGCTTCTCGGGAATATTTTCACAGAAATCTCCACCAAAGTCCATATAATCTATTGTTCAACTGTGCCTTTTAATATTTTCTTTTGCTCCCATCATAGGGAATCTAATATCCGAATTCAGGATCAGGCCTGAGAGCTTACCCAGCTAAGGCACATGTCACAAGAGGGGAGAGATGTCTCAAATCTACTCAATCGTCATCTCAAGGTCCTACTCACCCAAGATGAGCCTGAAAACTACCAGGGGCAGGGCCTTTTACGATAACACCTGGCTGAGGGTCACAGGCTGGCAGAGCACCTTGCCTGCATGCTCAGCCCAGGTAAGGTGACCACAGGCCCTCATTACTCTGAGCTACCCCAAGGTGCCTGGCTCACAAGACACTCAACTCACAATATGACTCTTTAACCAGCTGTCCTGATTTGCACATAACATTTATGGCCATGACGTGATCAGGGCTGGCAGGTGAGAGCAGAGCAGAGAAATGCACAGGGTAGAGATTCTATTATCCCAACTCTGTCCTTCCTCCTGATGCATCATGGACTTTGGGTGAAGAGGCAGCCTCCATCCCCTGTTAGAATAGAGCAGGAAGGTGTGACAGGAGGCAGCATGTTAGAGGGATAACAGTCCTGGTCTAGGAATGAAAGGTTTCTAGGCTCTACCCTGAATGCTATCTTTACTACCTGTGAGCCTGTGATGGATTCATCCCTCCTGAATTTCTCAGTCCTTATCTGTAAAAACGTAACATATGTAGCCGTAGTGATCATATGTGGGAATGGAATACTCACGAATGCACCTCAGGAAAGATAACGACCCTCATTTTGGGGTGTGTTAAGGTACTTGATAAAGTAGCACATGGTGTTGGGAATGTTGCTTTATACTGGAACAATTTCCATAGAGAGAATTTCCTATAACATAGTCAAAGCCAATTTGTTAATTTGTTATGAATGAGGAGTTAATAGTGATAAGTTATTATTAACTAAAGACCTTAGTTCACATTCGGGTTCACTCTTTGTGTTGTTCTTTCCTTGGCTTTGGGCCAATGTATAATGACGTATATCCACTATTACAGTGTCAAACAAAATAGTTTCACAGCCCTAAACGTCCCCTGTTCTCTACCTATTCATCCCTCCCTTCCCCCCAACCCCACAACAATCATGTCTTTGTGTATCATCAGCAATGTGCTTTGCAAAGATTTTTTTCCCAGTCTACAGCTTATCTTTTAATTGTCTTGACAATTTCTTTCACAGAGCAGAGGTTAATTTTAATAAAGTCTAATTTATCAATTCTTTCTTTCATGGATTATGCTTTTGGGTATTGTGTCTAAGGAACCAAATCTAGGTGGCTAAACCCATGGTCACCTAGATGTACTCTTTCATCATCTTTAGAAGCATGATAGTTTTGTGCTTAATATTTAGGTCAAGGATCCATTTTGACTTAATTTTTAGGAAAAGTGTAAAGTCTGTCTCTAAATTCATTTTGTTGTATGGGAATGTTCACTTGTTCTAGTATCATTTGTTGAAAAGATAAACTTTTCTTCAATGAATTGCCTTCACGCTTTTGCCAAAGATCAGTTGACTCTATTTCTGTGGGTCTACTTTTAGTCTCTCTATTCCATTTCATTGATCCAATGAGGGGAGAGGAGCTGAAGCTTAAGCTGATTGCCAGTGGCCAATGGTTTAATCAATCATGTCTATGTGATGAAGCCTCCATAACGACCCAAAAATACATGGATCAGGGAGCTTCTGTAGAGCTGAATCATGGAGGCTCTTAGAGGGTGGTGCACCCTAGATGGGTGTGGGAGCTCAGAGCTTCTCCCCTATACCTTGCCCTGTGCATCCCTTCATCCATATTCTTCATAATGTCCTTTTTAATAAACAGGTAAACATGTTTCCCTGAGTTCTGTGAGGCACTCTAGCAAATTCGTCCGAACAGAAGAGGGGGTGGTGGGAACTCCAACTTGAAGTCAGTCAGTCAGAAATTCTGGAGGCTGGGACTTATGACTGGTGTCTAATGGGAGGGCAGTTTAGGAACTGAGCCCTCACCCTCCAGGCAGATAGTGTCAGCATTGTAGGAGAGGACCCCCCACTGGCGTCCGTTGCAGAGCTGACTGATTGCTTGGTGGTGGGGAGAAATCCCCACATTTGGTCACAGTTGTCCTTTGTGATGATTGTTGTGTGTGATGTGAGAGCAGCGAAGAAACACAGTTTGAGTTTTTCCAAATAGCTACTAAGAAGAAAAGGACCAGTGGTCTGCTGTGATCTCACGTTATCAGTATGGAAGTGCCCCAAATGTGTGGCTCCTCTACAGAAAAGGCTGAAAATTCATCAGCCATTGATGGAATTTGTATTCTCTCTCCAAAATACTGTTTATATAACATGGAATAAATGGAGAAGAAAAACAAGTGGATAGATGGATTAAACCTATAGCCTCTCTACTTGAAGCACACTTGCTCAAACTGTTTTGAATATAAGATCAAATAAGAAGTAATCATTACATTGAAATCCAGTGTACAGAAAACAATACCTCTCCTTATGCATAATGGAATTTAGTATTTTCTTTTGAATATTTAAAATAAATCCTGAAGTTCACATTAATGTCATAGCCCATGAATATTGTCAGCACTACAATTTGCAAATTTTTCTTTTGGTCAATTACTGTCATTCAATGAAATCCCCAAAGAGAACTATTATGTCTCATTTCCCTGAAAAGAATATAATAATAAATCAAAAGTGAAACTCAGGAAATGATTGCATATTTATACTTCTTTATGCCGCTCCTGACACTGGCATAAAATAGTAAAACAGGAATCTTTCTTGAGAAAGGACTTTGGGGGAAAAGAATAGGGAGGAGGGAGAATGTAGTAAAACATAGTCATCCTTTTCATGTTCCACTTGAGAATCTTCTTGGTTGAGATATGGAGAATGTGCCTAGAAATGCCTCAAGTTGTAACTGGATGTGGAACCAACTTCAGGGAATTAGAGAATATAAGGTGAGCCTTGGTCACAATCCCTGTTCACTCTTTGCTAATTCCATTTGAAATCTCTCCTTTTCCTTTTCTTTGCTGAGCCCCTTTGGAAGAATATGTTTAATATCTCTAAAACCTTATTCCTGTCCTAGCCAGCCTCTAGGGATTGTTGATGGCTCTATTGGAGCCTTTCTCTCACTCCTTCCAAATACCAGGGAAAGGGCCTGAGGCCTGGATTCTAGTTCCAAGGTTGTCAGTAAACGGTCACGTGGCTTTAGTTGAATCTTAGCCCTTTGGCACCACTCTCTCCTCATCAGTAAAAGGAGCAACTAGACTTGGATGTTGTCTGAGGTCCCTGCTGGCTCTTACATCCAGGACTATTCCCGTAGCCCACACACTCCTTCCTAAAAGACTGGGACATGGAGTTTTAGAGAGCATAGTTCTCTGCAAAGGCCCTCTCCTTCTTGCAGTAGTCTGTTTCTAAGTGTGATGATTGACACTGAGCATGTCCCTCACCAGGAGGTGTGAAAAGCCCTCACTTTGCTGCAGACAAATGAGGAAAGTGGCTGATATCATCAGGTTTTGTTTGGGTGGGAACGGGGTGCCTATATCCTGCACCTCAGGCTGACTGTAAGTTCAGGAAGGTTTTCTTCTCACTTGGGGCTATCACTGTCCTCTTCAGTCAGCCTGAGGCTCACTTCAGCTCATCCTCCCACAGGAGCTCAATTTGCCCCTGGGTCTGTCCCACTTAGCCATCCCTCCAGACTCAGCCAACTGCAGGACCTGACAAAGACTCTCATTTGATTTTTTTTTCTCTCTTTCTCAGCTACCAAGTACTGCTGGAACTATGAAAAAAATGAAAGCGTTTCAGAAAAAAAGTAGCTTTTCCACTTGATGAAATAAAACAGCAAACCAATTTAAAGCTCAAACAGAACACAGGAGAGATCCTTCACTGAGAACTGAACTTTACTCCCACAATCCACTCTTGATGATTTCCACTCCAATAGATTGATTTATTTGGAAAAATGATAGTTCATCAGCCTCCAGTTGTGATCCACATTGAAGAGACTCATGTCTAGGTCAGCAGACACTGTTCAGAGACCTTAAACTATTGCTCTTCTCAATTCCAGTTCTGTAGGTCACCAGAAACAGCAGCCACCGGCAGAAAACAACATGCCACTCCGGACACTCTGCCTCCAGATGGGGTGCACTAGGAGTACACAGTATCATCATTGCAATGTTCTTGCTGAAAACTTTCAGCCTAAGTTGAATCATGAGGTAATTATCAGACAACTGCAGAATGTAGAACATCGAATATGACAGCTGACCCGCTTTCTATAGTCAATGTCACCCCAGATAAGACAACAAAAGGAGAAGAGATATTTTGGGTTCAAAAAGAGTAAAAAGATTCTGTTGCATGGGTGTGGTGCACACCATCGGGGGGATGGACACACTCGAAGCTCTAACTCGGGTGGGGCAAGGGCAATATATGTAACCTAAACATTTGTACCCCCGTAATATGCTGAAATAAAAAAAAATAAAAAAATAAAGATTCTGTTGCTGTACTTCTTTAGTCCTATTGAAACAAAACCATCCCCTCATCTTTTTGGTGTTGTCGATGGTGGTGACATTGACTTGTTTGTAGAACAATGCTTAAATTCAGGCTAAACATTTAGCCAAGCACACTACCTAGTTAATGCTGTGAGCTTCCTGCCGAATATCATATGGAGGTGAAGAATGGCCAGTCTATCCAACATTGTTACCATGACGCTAGGATTGGTTATTTGGTAAAGGAGGTGTCTAGGAGATTTGTCCATTTTAAAAACACCTTATTTTCTCTATTAATATGGAGAGTGGTATTTTGAGGATTTACAAATATACTGTTTCTAATGATTTTCCTCTAAAATTAATCATCCTTGCCTATGTCAATTATTATATTCACGTGTGTACATTAGAAATTTTCTATTTCATTCCTTCCGATATACTTGTTTTTGCTGTCATTCTGTTATAAGAAAGAACATTACATCTCTCCTCTTGAATAGTATTAAAATATTTTTAACTGTATCTGTGAATTTGTGGACTTTTAAAATTCACTGTTAGAATAAATCCATTATTGCCATGATTTGTTTTGGTTAAAATGGATATAATTAGGAATAAATATTTTTATTTCCCTATTTCTATGTATATTGTACCCTACATTTAACATAAAGAGAATGCATTATTATTATATGATAAAACACTTTCTTTGACCTAAAATAAAATTATTTAAAACAAACTAAAATATTTGTGTGAGCCTACT